CTGCTGCTGTTACTGTTACTGCTGCTGCTGTTACTGCTGCTGTTACTGCTGCTGTTACTGCTGCTGCTGCCGTCGTCTCACAGGGATCCACATTATCGTCCGTATTAACACATCTCAATGTCAAATTAAGACAAAGGCGGCGGCGAGGGGCGCGAGTCTTTGTGCGAGAGACATTTCAGAAGCGGAGACGTTTGGAGTCACCCTGTCGTCGCAGAACAACACGGGGGAAACAGCTCCACCTGGGGGATCATGGGTAAAGTTTTTCAGACAGTCCCAGGTTTTCTTCATGTAAAATTTTACCCCTAGTTATATATTTTGTCTTGGTAGTATATGGTTTAAAGTGTTTTGGTAATATTTGAAATATTTACCATATATATTAAGTATAAATCTTTCCTCAGTGTTTCAGAATCCCTGCAGCTTTCAAACAGCGCCACCTGCAGTTCCTCCTGAGTGCAGCGTCATTTCCACTACTGAACACTCCAGTGTCTGTGCAGCTGTGTCGACTCAGCGCTGACTTTATAAGTTAGTGTGTGTGTGTGTGTGTGTGTGTGGTCACCAGTCGTGGGTTATTAAAGGGTTTGTATTAGGTGACACCTCCATCGATCATCTGCCCGTAACCTGATATCAGCATACAATAAAGACGTGGACTGAGGTGTGTTTGCACCGTGTTGTTCCAGGAACCGGTTCTATTATTAGGCTTCACCGGCTCCAGTACTTTCAAGTTCCATTCTTTAAAAAAAATGTTTTTATCCACTACGTACAGGATATTTGTTGTCCATCTCCTTCCTTTATCACCACCATATTTCATACTTTTAGAAGTTTTCCTTACTATGAGTAAACGGCTAACTTTTAGCCACTTTAGCTTATGCTAAAACTGTTATTTCCAGCATTCCAGTTGGTCTCGTTTTTGTTTAATACTTGCTAATGCTATGCTAATTTTTTCCATTCTAAAGTACCAAGGCAGCGCACGCATTAGCGCTCACTCCGTTCACACGTGTTTACAGAGCATATGGTTAATTATCATCTCGTCGACGCGGACTCGCCTGGTCTTCACCGCTCACATCTGCTGCCTGACATTTGCTACACCACAGCGTGTGTCAATCAAACTGTACAATAAACATCTACTACGTTCATTCATTTTAATGCTCGAGTGAATAAAACAAAATATTTTTTTAAATATTCACCATTAACAAAGCCTGATTGGTGCAGTGTTAGATCCAGTCCAGACATGAACAGGATTAACATGTTTTAGATCCAGTCCAGACATGAACAGGATTGTGTATGTTCAACTCTCTTCTTTCTTTTAATCCCCCTGGGCAGCGGCAGCAGCAGCAGCAGCAGCAGCAGCAGCAGCAGCAGCAGCATCAGGAGCGGGACTAGAGCTCATCACCATGTGTGCTGTATTAGCCACAGTTTATAAGCATAAAATATGTTAGCACACAGGCATCAATCATCCGAGGTCTACCAGGAAACTGTTGACTCTTGATCTGACACTGAACCAGAACCAGAACCAGAACCAGAACGGTTCCTTCTGCAGGTTGGACTCCGGTGACTGTTTAACATTTAGTCATTCAAACAATCTGGAAAAACTTGGAGTTCATTCTGCACCACTTTTTACCCGTCTCCTGGGCTAACTTTCTTTGTTAAACTTCTGGTCATTTTTTAAAAAAAACTCTTCATACTTGTGGCTAGCAAGGAGTTATTTTGGCTAACCTTTTAAACCTTAAGTTATGTTGTTACCAGGTACAAAGACTGAATCAGTTGTTATAGCTGTCACTTATGTCCATCTAGTACCGAGTCCATGGCTAGCTTAGAGCTGTTATTTGGGCTAACGTTAAGCAATATTGGCTAACCTTTTTCTAAATGTTAGCTTGTTTTTTTTAACCCATTTGTAGCTAACTCCTAGCCTAATGTTTACAATATCTCTTGGCCTACTCTTAGTATATTTGTTAAGTAACTTTATACCATCTTCCTGGGTAAGGTAGTTTTCCAGCAACCATTTGAACACACACACACACACACACACACACACACACCTGACACAGTCCAGTGAGTCACACGGTCCCAACAAGGACAGCATAACTGTCCACACTCTTCTTGCCAGGCAGCCGGCGACAAATGAAACCACAAAAACGGTTTCCCTCCAAAAACCACAAAATCAATAACAGTGACTGTGATGCATCGAGCGAGGAGAGAAACGAGAAGGTGAGTGAATTGATTGAAGCGTCATCCGCTCGACGCTCAGGTATAAAATCAGCAGTTTTCGCAGAAAAAAATGATGCGAGTCCAAACGACTTTTTCTGCTCCAATTATCCTCATCCAAAAACACTCAAATGATTGTGACAATTTAAGTGGAGCTGTTCAGGGCAGGAAATGAAAAAAAAAATGGAAAAAGAGAGAGAGATGATACAACGGTGGTGAAAAGAACAAAGAGTTCTGTTTTTGACATAATGTGAAGATGAGGTGAAGCCGACACTGAGACTGAGACTAAGTGTTCTCAGAGATGTTCACAAAAATCACAGATAAAAAAAGACAACAATGACTTCACAGTTATTTAAAAACGGTCTCTGCCAAAGTCAAACACTGCAGTGAAAATCAAACCCAGGGCAACTTGTAAAATGTACTCGTCTTTTACACCTTCATCTTTTTCAGGTTTACGGCGGAGGCTGCAGGAGGTTGGAGGCTGTTGGTCCTTTTTTATGACTCTACACTACATCACGACGACGACAGTCTTTAAAAGGAGTAAGTCGCATTTTTTTTCATCCTATGGCTGGGTTTGCGACTTATATATTAAAATATATAATGTCGCATTTTTGTTATTTTCACACTAACAGCCACCAGAGGGCACTCTAGGCTTGTGTACCAGTATCTTCTACTCCTGCACCACCAAAAATTTACGTTTGTTATTTTCACACCGACCGCAGCAAGAGCACTGGTGCGACTTATACTCTGGAAATTACGGTACTAGTGTCAGTTCGTGAAATCCTGACCCTTGAACCCTAAACTATATCTGTCTATATCTGCTGACTCAGCGCCTCCTCGTTCTTCCTTCCTTCCAGTTGCAGCTCAATCTTATCATCAACATGTTCCTGTCCAAAGGCTTCTACCATGTGTTATAACAGGGACCAATCAAAGGCTCCACAGACCCAGACCCAGTCACTCAGTACTCCTGGAGGGCACCCGCCCCCCCCCCCCCCCCCCCCCCGATGTGTCACTGACGGCTGCCAGGCCTCCTCTAAACCGTCTTTTAAGCCTTCGCGGCTCATCAAACATTCTGCAGCCACTGCTCTCCTCCGTCTCTGCCATCACACTCTCCTGCTCTCCATCCTTTTAGCTGCCTGGGACTGTTCACGACTAAATCAATAGGAGGGATGGGGGCCAGCGACGGGTCAAGGAGGGTTATAACTTTTAGTCTTAGCTTATACCCTGTTGTAAGTTTGAAGTTTTGCTAATTGTTTTTATATTTTCGGTCCATTTTGTACTGTAAGTTGGCCTGCCAATGTCACCTACTATAACCTATCATTTTTCTTTTCTCTTTTTTAGCAATTTTTTAAGCTGAATATTAATCTTCTTTCTACTAGTTTTCTAGTCCTTCAAGGGCTTAACAAGCAAACAATTAACTGGTTAGCAAAGATTAGCAAAATAAATAAATAAAAATAAATTAATAAATAAAAGCTCAAAGTTTCATAGTAATTGGTTCCATGTGTCTCAGTTTCTGGCTTTAATTTAAAACATTAATTAAATTCAAGGGCATCTGTTTGGAACTTGGAACTAAATTTAAGAAATTTGAATGTTACTTAACTATGGAATAAATATCAGAGGAGGAAACAGCTGGTCTCCATTTTGTCTATTCCCTGTAGGTTTACATTCACACTGATTCCTAATCAAGGTCACCTTGGCAAACTGATGCAAGAAATAATATAAGAAAAAAAAGATATAATTTTCTATTCATGAGAATAAACACATGAAGAGCCAGTAATGAATATGCAGCAGTAAAACTGAGAGCAGTCGTGTGTAAAATTCAGGGGGAGTTTCAGTGAATGTGCTGCTGACGGTGCAGAAATATTTCTGTTCACTTGTCCAACTTTGTGCAACTCTAAGCACAAAGTCTGCTGCTCGCATTAGCATTCATGCACGAGGGTTTTTTTTTTTGGTTTTTTGTGTGTGTGTGTGAGAGCCTGCCCTCATTATTCCACAGTGTTTACAGTGTGACAGATAGTGGACAGGCCTCAGTGAGCAGCAGGGGAGTCATTATTCCAACCAACCATGGGACGAACAAAGGACAGGAGCAGCACAACCATCAGACACACTGCCACACAAAAGGGCCATTTATGAAGGAGGCATTTTAAATATTTAAAGGGGCTTGAAATTCTATTTTTATAGTGTGACAATTGACGTCCTCACTGGTGTAATCTTCAAGTATCAGTGTGTTCTCTAATGTAAGAGTTTTGGAAGATTAAAGGTCGGAATCCGTGGGTTTCAGAATCTCTAATTTTCCACTGTTTTAGGGATGTCCGACATGCCGATATCGTCCGTACACTTAATTTTCGTTTCCGATATTAACCGATACCAATGTATCGGGGCAGTGGTGGGATAGAGCAGTGTTTACCAAAAGATTTGTTTCTGGGGACCCATATTTTAAGACACAAACCCTCGCGACCCAATTCAACAGACATTATTCGCAAACTATTTTTTTAATCTGACTTGAGGTTCTGTTGCATGACAACGGTGGAATTTTCCAATTCCAAGAATCAGTTGCATTGGTGTCATTCCAACACGGAGCAGCGAGGAAGTCATTTTAATAACTAAAAATTAAATCTCTCTCTGTAGAATTCAAACGTCCGGAAGGACAAAAAGCTAATCAGCACGGTTGGTCAGGACTCAGGTCGTTATGACCAAAGCTAATTATCAGGACATAATTAAAAGAACAGAGAAGTACCAGTGGAAGCCGGTCTATTTGGACTGTGCCGACAGTTTCTGGCTTTCATTTCCTTACCCTAGAGTATGAACTAAAGTCACATGGTCTGCACTGGACCAACGCCGTGGGCACGTCCTCTAAAGTCAGCTCTAATTTGGCACAGAAACAAAAGGGATGAAAATACTTCAAATCATATGTGTTTATAGTATCGTGACCAGGAAGTGTATCATTGTCAAAAAACGACCTGTCCACCAGTCTTAGAACCTTGTTTCCCTCAAAAAAAAACAAAAAATAATAATTGGGATTGCCCCTAGTGGCAGCCCATTGAAAAGCATCCAATTATTTTATTATTAAATGGTTTAAACTGGTACTAAAAGTTCCTGGTACGATGATGTGGATAAAACGACCCGCGCAATTT